ATAGTATTCAAAGAGCTTAACAAGCAGGCAAACATAAATGAGGACACATCTCTTTTCACAGTGTGAATCTTAATACTCCACTCAGGTGTACAGACGATCAAGACCCACACCTGACACCTCTCTGTTATAATCACAGTCATCACTTGTTTTTCTCTTGTCTGTCCAGCAGTCGGCACCACTGCTCTGTGCAGCTTCACCCAGAGGGACAGTCATCATGGACTGAGCTGCTCAGCGTCTCACAGTGTCCTAGACCAGAGGAGGACAGACCCGCTGTGTCCACTGGATGAACACTGACCAGTGGTACAGCTCCCTGAATCTGCTGCCTTCCTCCAGGACAGCTGCTGTGTGATGGAATCTGATTCAGAGGCTCTAGACCAGAGTGTCTCACCACACAGTTAATCCTCAGCTGCTCTTCACCAGTACAGCGCCTGACTGGGTGAGCTCTCTTGACCTAATCGAGCATCTCAAGGACTACTCAAACATAACCACAAATAAATCACAGCACCGATTTTGCTTTGACAGGTTTAACTGTGTGATATTTAAAGAGAGGTGAAAAATAAAACCAAGAAATGTCTTTTAAACTGGATCATATCCATCACTTCCCAATGATGTACAATAAGTGCATTATCACTGTGAGCATCGCTTCACGGCAGTATAAGAAATCCAGCTTCAATAAAATACAGCACGTGCAACCGAAGAAGAAGTAACTATAAAGTGCAAAACATAAAAATTCAAATGAACAACATACACATAGCCAAAATGTCTTACTAGTAAATGGCAAGGTCACAGTTAAGCAACAGTGTGGTTTAAATAGATAGATACTTTACTGATCCCGTGAGGATAATTGCAGTGCAACAGCAGCTTAACACAGACAACACAGACACAGTGTAACGAATTATACAATAATAATAATACAATAAATCGGCCATATTAGTTAATTAATAATAATTAACTAATTAATTAGCCATATAAATGAGCCACTATTAGGCACAATTAATTAGCCATATAAATCACTGCAATAAGGACAAGAGCTAAACAAGCATTAAAGCAGCACACAGGTTAATATGACTGAGAAATGCTTCACTTAAGCCTGTCTCACAATTTCACTGCAATATTCTTTTCAGCACAAGAGAGACGTGACAGAAGCAGCACTTCAGTGAACTGGTGTCTGACTCCAAGGAGCCGGGTGACTGGTACTGTAACACACTGCAGCCTGTCCACAGGAGGACGAGTCCTCATCCCGGGACA